GTCCTTGTGATTAGTGGAATTGGGGGGTATGCACAGAATGGCTTGTTCCTCCATGAAACCGTAAGTGCATCCCCAGTGGAGTTCAGACCAATGCCCACTTGGGAGCAATAAGCTTTGCACACTGTGTTCTTGTGTGTGGCAAAGAGGTCTATGGAGGGCGTTCCCCACTGGTTGAAGAGATGATGGCAGATCTCTTGATCCAGTTCCCACTTGTGCATCATGGACATATGTCTGCTCAGGGAGTCGGCTTCTTTGTTCTCGGTACTGATGAGGTGAACAACTTGTAAGTTGATCCTGTGGTTGATGCACCAGTTCCAGAGATGAAGAGTGAGATGTTATAATGGGATTGATCTTGTCCCTCTCTGTTTGTTCAAGTAGAACAGTCACAATATTGTCCGTTGCTATCTGGACGGTCTTTCCTTCCAGGATGGTTTGGAAGGCATGGAGAGACTTGTACACCACCAGCAGCTATAGATAGTTAATGTGTTTTGCTTTCTCATGACCGTGCCAGATGCCTTGAGTTCGAAGCGATGCAGTGGGCCCCCCATCCAGTCAGGGAAGCATCGGTATAGAGTGTCACGGTCGGTTCTGATGGTTGGAATGGTACCCTTGGGTCAAGTTGGTGTTGATTATCCACCAAGATAGAGTTTGGAGGACTGAACATGGAGGTTGCAATGGCTGGTACAGCAAATTGTGCTCAGGATGGAAGCTGCAGTTGAACCATAGCTAGAGCAGTCTCATCCGCAGCCTTGCATTTGACACCATGGAAACCGTGAACACCATATGAATGAGCACCTGCTGAATCAAATGCACAGGAACAGTCTGTTTCATGATGAGATTGTGCACAGAGCGTGTAAGTCTTTGTATCCAGTCTGATGGAAGGTAGGCTCTGGTACAGATCGAGTCCAAACGTGCTCCAATGTAGTTGAAGATCTGAGAAGGAACAAGGGATGACTTCTCGTTATTGATGCACAATCCTAACTGATGGAGCAAGCAGTTTTGATTGAGGCTACGAGGACCAGTTTGGAGGATGAAACTAGCAGCCAATCATCCAGGTAGGAGTAGATGTGTACACCCTGAAATCTTAGGTGGGCGCAAACCGGGGCCATACATTTTGTAAACACCCTTGGTGCTGTGATGAGACCAAAGGGAAGAATGTTGTATTCATAGATGTCGGTACTGACCATGAACCTTAGGAAGTGCCGGTGTGTGAGGTGGATGCCTATATGGACATAGGCATCTTTCAAATGTAGGGATGCGAACCAATCCTCTTCTCTGAGCAACGGAAGAATATTTTGGAGCATGGTCATTCTAAATTGTTTGGTTTTGATGAATCTCTTGATTCCAAGCATGTCCAAGATGGGGCGAATGCCTCCGTCTCTCTTTGGTACCATGAAGTACCTTGAGCAGAAACTGTGCAGTCTCTCTGAGTGGCCAACTTTTCAAATTGCTCCCTTGCAATTGGTGAAGCTGTTGTGTGGTGGATTGCGTGTTGTGTGGATCAAATCCAATTTGTCATCCATCTTGGCATGGAAAAGTCTGGTGCCATCGAAAGGCATGCTTTCCACCTTCTGATTTGTCTCCTGAGGGAGACTGCCAGCTTGGAGCCATGTGTGATGCCAGGGGGGCCACTGCAGCAACAAGCGCCCTAAAGTCACAGTCAACATGATGTCTTGCCGCCACGCTGTTGTTTGGAGAGCTGCATTGCCTCCCCAGTGAATGGTCTGGCCAGGTCTCTTTGTAGGTCTGGGAGGAATGCAGCAAGGGATTCCATCTTCTGCCACAGAAAACATTGGCATTGAGCCATAGTGGCCTCGTAATTGGAAATCCAAAGTCCAAGACCCAGAGCAGAATAGATCCGGTGAGACATGATGTCAATCCTTCTCTCTTCATGATCCGTTGGCACAGCGTGTTCTCTTGTCTGGTGCCCGTGGGTGGACTAGATGACCATTGAGTTTGGTTGCGGATGATGCAGCAAGAAGGGGATGCCCTGTTCCCTGACCTTGTACATTGACTCAAGGTGTTGGGAGGTCGGGTGTGGATGGTTTGGTAGTTTCCATGATTTATTTATTTAGGATATTTATATGCTGTCCTTTGCAAAAGCCTCAGGAGGGCTTACAAAGATAAAATACAAATATCACCAAACATAAATAAATTATCGACCCACTCTGGCTGTGGTTAAAATATAATGGTAAAAATACATTATTAAATTCCATCACGGGCTGGCGTAAAGTGGAAATGAAGGGAAGAACTATTGGGACCACATCCTCTGTCCTGATAACATCGTAGATATTATCCTGGTCTGGATCCATATGATGCTGGATATTGATCCTAAGAGAAGATGACATATGGACCAGCAGTTGGGAGAAGTGGTCCAGGCTCTTGCCGGGTGATCCTGGGCCTTGAACCAAAACAAGAAGGTCAGAAGATGTGGAGGCTTGTTCTGAATCATCCGAATCTGAGTCAGAATGGTAAGCAGGACTCATGATGAAGATTGTGCCGGAGATACATCATGATGGGCTATGAGAGAAACTGGGGTGGTCGGTGCATCCAGAGAGGTTGAAGGTGCATATGGTGAAAGTCGTTTTTGACATGTTGACATGTTGGTAGTGGTGTGTAGGGATAGCCATAGGGTGCATAGTATTCCCATGGATATCCAGATTCACATTGTCCAGTTCCAAAACCTCCATATGGAGGTGGCATCCAGTATCTACTGCAGTCTTGCTGAGGTGGCTTGGGTTCGAAGGGGGGCTGACACTGGATCACTCCCAGTGAGGCATCTGGGGAAAGATGCCCATATGGAGTAAAAGTGGGAGGAAGGCTCAGTTCATGGTGTTCGTGGACAGCTCTCTCGATCTAGAAGCCACACTTCTGGCTATGCAAACAAGGGTGACGTTCGCCCCCTAAAACACTGCATCACACTGCTGACTAATGTTCAGCCTGCAGTAACCAGCACCCCGAGATCCCTTTCACCAGTGCTGCTCTCCAGCCACTTGTCCCCTAACCTGTACTTATGATACCCATTCCTATGCCCCAGGTGCAAGATCTTGCACTTATCCACATTGAACACCATCCTGTTGTCTCCTGCCCACTTCTATAGACTGTCCAGATCCTTTTGGATCTGGAGTACCTGCTCCTCAGTTGTGGCCACTGCCCCAGTTTTAGTATTGTCTGTGAATTTGATCAGCAGACTGTTCACCCCTTCTTCCATGTCATTGATGAAAAGATTAAACAGGATCGGCCCCAGGACAGAGCTCTGGGGGACCCCACTTTTCACTGGCTGCCTTCCTGATGATTCCCCACTAATTGTTACCCTCTGCTTTCAGTCTGTCAGCCATGCCCTAATCCATCAGACAGTGCTTTGGTGTATCCCAAAACTCCTCAGTTGCTCAACCAGGATATCATGGGGCATTTTGTCAAAGGCCTTGCTAAAATCCAGGTAAACCGCATCCACTGCATCCCCTCCATCTAGCCACCTTGAAACCTTGTCATAGAATTCCACGAAGTTTGACTGGCAGGACCTGTTATTGAGGAAACCGTGTTGTGTGGCCGCCAGCCTGCCTTCCCTATCTAGCATCACTAGATCTCTCACTATTATGAGCCTTTCCATTGTTTTTTCTACAATGGTCGTAAGGCTAACTGGTCTGTAATTCCTCATGTCCCTTCTACTACCCTTTTTGAAAATTGGGACCAGTGACGCCACCCTTCAGTCCTCTGGAACTTCACCCGTTCTCCACAAGGTCTCAAAAATGGAGGCCAGCAGGTGTGAGAGAACCCCTGTCAACTCTCAAAGTACTCTTGGGTGTAACCCGTCAGCGCTTGGCACCTTTGTAATGTCCAATGCCCTGAAGAGCCCCTCAACTTCTAGGGGGGTGACTCTAATCTGTGCCCCTAAGTCCCCAGCCTCATCTAATCTCCCTTGTGGATATCCTCCGTCCTGCTTTGGGGAGAACACAGACGCAAAATAGTCATTTAGCAATTCTTCCATCATCATCATCATCATCATCATCATCATCATCATCATCATCATCATGTGTCACTAAAAGATGAAAACCGTTTTGCTATTGAAAGCAAATCTGTATTTTTGTTTTAATGTGGCATTTGAAATGTCTTAGGATCAAATGTGTACAACTTTCATCATGAAGTTTGACTCAGTATGTTTGATTTTTGAAAACAAACAAACAAACCCCAATATGTAACATAGCAAGGTGAACTGGATCAGGGCTGTATTGTGGACATGCCTCCATGTCTCTCCAGCTGTTTCTGCCTCAGCCCCTCCCTCTTCTCTCAGCACTCAGATTCCTCATCTCCTCCTCTAGGAGGGACACCAGCTTGCACTGAGGGCAAATGTATCCCTGCCTCCCGAGGGAGAAAGGAGAACATGTCACAGGTGTTGCAGCAGACAGCAACACTTGTGATTCCCACCAAGGCCATCTCCTGGCCTGACTTTGGCTACCTCAAGGGCCCTACCTTCTTCCCCTGCCTTGTTGGTCCTGCATTACCCTTCTCTGACTATTCTCGCCCAATTCTTGCCTTCGCCAGTTCCCTGGCCACTCTCTGCACACTCTCCCAGCCTCTGTTGCTCCACTGTTCTGCCAAGATATAGGATTTGAATCAGGCAGTATGGCAAACAATTTTAGATGAAATCTTTTATGTAGAAGTTGTTAAGAAAAAGTTGAGGAAGGGAGGGTTGATTGACAGATAAGAAACTGGGTCACAGGACATGCTTAAAGTTGTTACCTTGAAAATCATAGATTTTTATGCTATTACTACCAATGCAAACACAGAAATATTAAAGTAGGTAAGCACTGCAGTATTAAAAGTTTGCATATAAATGCAGTATAAGTTATTATGGCTTAAATCCAGAGGAAATAAAAATCTTGTTCAGAAGGTACTTCTTTTTATATCTCCAGTAACAGCAACATTGAAGTTCCCATTCACTAGATTTTCAGGTGCACTTAATGTCAAGATGTTAATTCAGTAAGGCACTGATATCTTACCTGGGAGGAAATGAAATGTCCAGTTCATATAATTTGTCTTTAAAGACTGACAGTTCTTTGTCAAATTCCAAAAGCTAACAAGGGAAAAATACAAACACATATTAAAATAAATACACCTTTTGTTCTGATCAAAAACAATATTATTAAAGAACATGTTTAAAAAATGCAGTTGAAGAACATTTTAAGTTACAATATCTGTATTGGAGAAGTATTCAAAATTCTGTTTATATTGTGTCTTCCAATGTTGCTTTGTAGTTTTATTATTTTATTTTATTATTTTATTGTAAGCTTTATAAGAAGCTTACGATAAAAAGAAAGCAAATTGTGAAGCTTTATTAACAATTGTGTGAACAAATTCATACAGGGCTGAGAAAATGAAAATGAGTGTTAAAAAACTCAAAATATTGATCTCTTAGGAATATCCTGAAATATTCAGTTTTGCTGTTACACCAGTGTTACCATATAGAACTCATATTTGTTCTTTTTGAAGGTTAGTTCAAATGTTTAAAAGGCACTAGCTGTATTCTCAGATAAAATGGATAAGAAATTTTAAATGTTTATATATAGCAAATTAAGATGATAACCTATAAAATGTACTCAGAAATATCAGTTGCTATCCTTAGTTTGGCAAGGATGTTACAAAAATATAAGGGCATCAAGAACCAGAGCTGCCATCTTAAATGTATCTATTTGAAATCTAAAAAAATGCTGATGTGGAAAACAATACTTGTTTGTCCTCAAAGGCAAACAATATTCCAGTTCAGCTATTTTGGGGCTGTCTAGATTAGAGAGCAGAAGAAGCAAGACCTGATTTTTTATACACCTATGTGTATGTATTAAAACTGAATTTCTTGGTAGTTGCCAAGATCTAACTCCAAGGACAAATATTAAGCAGACTTCAATCCACCAAATAAACATGCGTACAAATGTTTGATAAATTTATTTCCTAACAGACTTCCACAAAGGAAGAAACTGCATAGTCTAATCTTGCACTCATTAGCCAAAACCTCATAAAAGTTAATACTAGTCAATCTTAAAGCAAGAACCACCATGATGGACAGAAAAACTTTATTTCAGAATCACCAATGGTGTTAAGTCTGACGTGCAAATGAACCTGTAGTACCACTGGCCCATTGTTGCAAATGCCATTTTTGGTTTTGACAAGCGTGCCATCAAAAACAGTGTTCCCTATATTACCTGCATATTTACCCCCATTCATTAATCATGTTCCAACTCACAGCTGTGCTGATACCATTGTATGAATGGCAGAGGTTCCAAATGAAATTAGATTGTGTTCTTCTTTCCCCACTGCTCTGTCATAAATCATTCCTGAAATGTGCAATTAGCAGCTACTTGTACACATTAATTATCTGTGTGAAAAGCAGATACCTGAACCACCTGCACAACTGATTAGCTGCCTCCCTGTGGTCTGCCCATTCTGCTTCCAGCCTCTGACTGCAGTGCCACCAAGCACCTCTCTTGGTGTAACTGCAGGAATATTCATGCATAAGGTACCATCTCCTTTGTTTGGGTATAACTCCTCTTGCTATGTTGAACAAGAGGGTTACTTCAAAAAAAAAAAGAATAAAATCAGTAATATTCTGCATGGATTCTGACCAGAAATTATGGTGAATTTTAAAGTGAGGTATCTAGATCCATAAGCAATGAAAGAGTTGTCTGCTGCCAGCCAGAGGCTTGAGGCAATTCAATTTGCCTCAATAATATATTGCTGGCAGAAGGAGTATGACACCTGTTGGCCATATGGATCTGAAGACTCAGAGCTGGCTCAGCTTTTCCTCTATAGCAGCATCTCATGCTAAGCACCAAACTTCTCTACAACATTTATGGTTACTGTTTCATTTATATCTCAACTTTCCACAAAAACACATAAGGATTTGCATAAAGTTAACATTGTACAAAATAGGATGAAAATAAAAGTGGCAAACCAAACCAATGAACCAAACAGAACAAACCAGGGTTCAAAGAGTAGCAGATCAGTCAAGAAAAAACAAAAAACAAAAAACAAACAGTTTGCCTGCTATCTCTGCTGTTTAGCTCCAAGTTCTGCCAAACTTCACCAGAGGAATCAGGATCTGAGGTTGCTTCTTTTGTTAAGAGGGCAACATTAAGAGGGTTATAATGTTAACAGGATTACTTTGCTGATTTAACATGAAACTGTAGTGAAATCTCGCATATCAAACTGATTCTTGGGAAAAGGGAGGGCTGGGGTGGATGCAATTCTGCCAAGAGAGATTGCAGCAACTAGGTTGCCTCATCTTTGCTTACCTCACTTCATTCCTAAGAAGTCATATAGAAACAGAGTGAGTCAGAAGGATCCTCCAGGGCCATCTAGTCTGACCCCCAGCTCCAGCTGGCTCCACTCATGGCATGCCTACCATACGGTAGGTGAGGCCACCACATCCACATATTGCTTTCTTTGACCTGGAAAGCCTATGGGCAGGAAAACTTCATTCCCAGCTGAAATATAGGGTGTAACTATCCAGCTACTTGACTGGGTACAAATGATGTCACTGAAGTTAAACAGCCTGTGGGAGTGAGGCGGGATAGCTCATCCAGTCTTCCCATGCTACACCACCATGTGCTAACATATTCATGCTATATATGCATGCCACACTTATGGGCTAATCAAGCACCAATGGCAAATGGTTACTACTTCCAGTGTATCTTTCATTAGTAGAGACTAACAATTCAATCCTGCGTGGATCCACTCAGAAGCAAGCCCCACTGAGCTCACTGAAGGTTATTTGTTCATGTAAATGGGTACAGAATTGCAGCATGATTGATTGCACAAGATATGGCACTAAACCCTTGTTCAGTACAATAATAGTGGAAAAAAATCTTAATTTAGTGTGCATTTTCAAATTTTGGAATATGCCTTCAAAAATTATCTAAATAGTTAAACAAAAGAGCATTAGGAGAGAGGAGGGTTGCTTGTAAAATATAAAAAATGCAAAGACAAACAATGCTTCATAGAACAGAATGGTAAAAATACTCATTGAGAATTCTAGAGGCTGAAAAAAGTTAAATAGATGCATTGTCTTTCTGGATGAATTCAAAATATCTACAATGTATGTACCCAGTTTTTGGGCATGTGCCTTTTGTTTTGTTTTGTTATGACAATATTCTGCATTTAACAGAAAGAACAAGACTTATAGGGTTAAAAACTGTTAAGTGTGCAATCCTAAATGCAGCTGGTCGGGGGAATGGTATTGTTGTGGCACAGATGACAGATAAAAGGAACAGAATTGTGCTGGTAGCTGTTGGAACCTCCCATGTTTTTGGGAAGCGCTTCACAGCGGTTGTAAGAAAAATTGTTCAGAAAGCTCAAGTGCTGAAGGAGCACCATAGATGTGGTTAATGCTGTTATTATTTTCAGTTATGGTATTTGTTCAAGTAGGAAACTGATCATGACAGAAGATTTTTTTTTTAAATTGAGAACAATCAGTAGGTGCTATAAAAACAGCAGGCAACTTCAGTAGGTGCCATAAAACAGATTACTGAAATGAATCCAATGTGTTTTGGGTTTAAAGTCCTTCTTTTGGGGCACCTGAGTCCATTTAATTCCTGTGCACTCTCCTCAACTTGGGGTGTAAACCCTCCACATTTGTTTTCACATGTGCTGGATTGTGCCCTTAGGATCCAAAGTCACCTCTTCTGTGGAGTAGAGTAACTACATGAATATCATTTCCTCAGAGAGGGTAGTTGAAGAGCTAAGTCACACAGAAGTAAAAAGTGCTTGGGCTATCTGGCTCAGTTAAAAAAAAATAACCCAGTTACTAGCTCTGGATGGCATATACAAGAACTCATAAAGAATTTCACCGCCCTACTTGAAAACTGGTCTCAATAAAGATTTTTGTTTTGTTTTTGAATTAAAGTACATGCACACACGTGTGTGTGTGTGTGTGTGTGTGAGAGAGGGAGGGAGAGAGGGAGGGAGGGAGGGAGGGAGGGAGAATATAAGAATCCTGGAAAAAGCCAGGAAATTACAGGCTGTTTTAGGTCAATTGATGCAAAATGTAATTAAAGACTAAATTAATTAAAATGCAGAAGAACAAGTCTTGCTTTGAAAGACGGAAAGGAAGTCTTGCTTCATCAAATGGAAAATGTGGATATTATACAGTTGGACTTTCAGAAAGGCTGTTGACAAAGGCTCATAAGGATACTTGGCAGAAAGAGCATAACAGAGTGGCTTCTCTTCTAAATCTTTAAACTAGCACAAAGAAGGTCAAAGAAAGGATAGCACATCATAAGAATATACAGAAGAATTTTGAGGAAAATATGTATGAGAGATATGCTATTTAATTTGTGTATTAATGATTTTGAGTTAGGAATGAACAGTAGTATAGCCAAATCTGGGCGTGTCAATGAATGATTAAGCAAATTAAAACCAAAAGATGACTGTAAAAAGATGTTCAGAAAACTGGATGGAAGAGCAATAAAATGGCAAATGAAATTCAGTGTAAGTGTAAAATGATGCACCATGGAGCAAAAAGGTTTACGTGGAGGAACAAGATGAGATCATTGTGGATAGCTTTATGAAAATATCAGCTCAATGTGTCATGGCGAAGAAAAAATATGTCCATGTAAGGAATGATTAAGAACAGGATTGAACATAGAATGACTGGTATTACAATGCTGTATATATCATGGTGGGAACTTGGCTTTCCTGGGATTCCAATCTGGCCTTCTGGGTTTCTCCAAATGGCCTAGATCATGGGTCCTCAAACTACGGCCCGTGGGATGGATCTGGCCCATCATGCCCTTTCATCCGGCCCATGCCGCTGTCAGCCACCCTGCTGCTGCCTGCCTCTCCCATGAACGTGCGCTCACATGAACGTGTGCTCGCCACTGCCTTGCAGCATGGGCTGGAGGCGGTGACTTGCTTGCTCGGATATGGACTCTCTGGGAGACCCTTGGCCTGATGGAGATTAAGTCTTCTTATATTAAGAGCTGGACCTTGAACCAAAGTGTCACAATCTGTTATTAACGTGCAAGATACTGTAAAACAATGTTTAAAAGCCAGCTATGGTCACCAAGCAATAGGAAAACAGAT